CATACCTTGCTCTGCGACCTTCGGGGCTGTTCAGGGGCCCTATCTCGCATCCGCCAGGGATTGTTGGTTGCCATCCATGCGGCGCTTGGCAGTCTGCTTGACCCGTTCAGTTACGCGCCGGGCACACTTCAGGAATGGTTGCACCCATCCCTTGTGGTGGAGCAGGGCCTGGTCAGGCAGGGATATCTGGCGACCGAGATGGCCTCCAATGCACATGCCCAAATTCTGTGCAGGATGCCTTGTCCGTTCCCTTTGGCCACAGCACCTCAGCCCAGCTCTTGAGTGATGGAGTTTCTGTTGACATCGACCCAGCTAGTCGCGATCTTGGGGGCTACGTTTGTTCGCATCTCCCATGGATCGCGGCTAGCCTTTTCCTCGGGCGATGTCTGATTCTGTACATAGCTCTGTGTAGAGTTGTTGCGGTTTCAGGGCGGTTCCTTGCGACATATGGCCCCCGCCTTTCTTGGCGACGATCGTGGCAGCTCAGCTGCGTTCTTTCAGCAACCGCTTGGTGGGTTGCTGCTGCAATCGGACCGCCGGTCTCCATGATGCTGTGTGCCATAACCAGTGAGCTCTTGGCTGGCCTTCCTGGACTTGCCTTGGACTTTGGCTCTGCCCTGCGTTCTGCCAGTCAACACTGTGTTCGATTCCTCCCTGTCGTGGGTTCTGGACCTGGCTGCGTGTGGGGACGTGGTTGGACTTGGCTCCGCAGCCAATGGCAACCGGACTGCGATGACGAGCAGACATGGCCTTGGATCCTTTCCATCTGGCACTTTCCTTTCGCTGCGCGTGGATGTGTTATGCCGGCTGGGGCCCGATCTAACGGTCGCAGGGTGCACGGCGTGCGTCACTGTGTGAAAGCGAGACCACGGAGGCCCCCTGGTCCTAACTTTCATGTGACCTTGCTCCTGCTCTACCTCTCGGTCGCCGACGGAGCTACTCTCCGACTGGGAGCTGCTGTCCTTTCCTCCTACCTTGTGCAGCCCCCTGAAGCCGTGCAGCTGCATGCGCATGGTTTCCATGAAGGCCTCCCTGTTCTCAGCACAGGTCCTGTTCTTCCCACTCCCAGCGCTGATGAGATGTGTGACGTCTATCCTGTCGGACGTACCGGTAACTTGCTGTTACCACGTACTGACCGTAGCCGCAGGCATCTCGCTGTGTTTGTGGGGACACCTCCTGGCGCGCCCGTCCTCAACCCATGTCCCATTCCCTTTATGGTTGATGAATGGCTGCATGGGCCCCTACTTCATGCTAGGTTAGCCGCTGCTCTAGGCTTCCATGCTGGGGTTTTCTCTGTGTCTGGGGTTCGCGGAGTTCTTCCTGGGTTGCCGAGTGAACAGCTTCTCCTCACACCAGTGGCTTGTTCATGGCGGCAGGTGTGGCTGCCCGTCGATTTGCGACAGCTTGGCGGCCGAGTGTGTATGATACAATGTCCACGTGATTCCACATGCAGAGCAATCGCCCAACTCGCCCTTGCTGCTCAAACCTTGACGGCTGAGGTTGACCTCCTACTTGCTCGATGCACGTGGGGCTGGCTGACCCTTGTCTCCCAGCCCCTCTTCTTGCAAGATGTTGACACTCTGCAGTTTCAGATCGGTCCGGCTGTCGAGGTGTTACAAGGTCCTGTCGGATCCTCCCTTGATCCGCCCCTGTCTCTCTTTTCTGCGATGCAGGTGAGCCTTCCTACTGCTCCGGCCGCCTACGACGCCTTTCCGGGTCACTCGCATAACCAGGCTGTTCTTATCACACCCAATGGGTTGGTATATGTTGAAGCCCCGGTTTTTGCTGATGCCGCGACCTTCCGACGCATCGTGTCTACGAGGGCCTCCCCTGCTGCTACTGGGGGCGTTTTGCGTATCTGGCATCCACTTCCCTCGCTCCCTCTTGTCCAATTTCTTGAGGTTCATTGTACTGAGGAGGAAGTGCCGTGCATTTTGGATTTCCGTCCTGTGGGCTGGAGACTGACCACTGTCTGCATCTCGCCCCCTGTCACTGCGCTCGCCGCGGTCACAGCAGCTTCGCGTCGAGATCGCAACAGTCTTCCCCTTGAATGGGTCGATCAGTGTGCCAGGGGTGGCTTCGGTCTTCTTCACAGGGAATTTTCTGTGCTTCCGGACCAGGTTATTTCAGGGAGTTTTCCGCTGGTGATCATGTTCTTTCCGCATGTTTTTCGCCAGGACTCCTCGTCTTCCTCGGAGGACCAGGTCGGAGGGTGGGACACTCCGGGTACATCAGACACCATTTCCGCCTTACAGCACACCCTGTTGCCCTCACCTGCCAGAGCTTCTGCGTCCGCCAGCATGCCTGCCTGCACCGGCGTTACACCCTCTGAGTTCCTTAATTCCTCGTACCCTAGCGCTGCTGAGCACACTGAGGAGCCTGCTTCGGATGCGTCCGGTGCTGTCCACCTGCTGCGAAGGCCCTGGGTTGTTTCTATTGCCTTGGGGACCTTAGGTTGGCATGCTGGAGGGCAGCCTGGACTTGGCACGTGGAGTGTTGCTAGCTTACTGCTGTACATTTTGCCTGTTACAGCGGTTCAAATTCACAGCGAACCTGCCTCGCCACGCGACGCTGTTATTTCCGCTGCCAGAGCTCCTGATCGCCAGATTGCTGCCCCTGCGGGAGCCCACGCCCATCTGCAGTCCAAGTGGCTTCTGACTGGTGACTTTGGCGATGGTCCTCTCTGGTTATCACTGCCGTCACCAGACTCTGTTTTCCTTATAACCTGCCGCCTTTGGCTGCCAGGCTCCGTCGTGCGCCTTGAGTTCTCAAGCACCGATCGGGCCCGTGATGTGTCTGCGGAGCTGTACCGCCAAGCCATTCGCCTTGGACGATCTCAGATTGTTGCGGCGTCGGTCGGGCCTACGCTTGAAGCTGTTCACCTTGTGTCCCTGCCCTCTCATCCGGGAGCGCTTACTGTCCTGTTTGATTTAGGCAGGGAGATTGTTTGCAGCGAGCTTCCGTTCGACTATAGCCCGAGCCAGGTTATGACTGCTGCACAGGAAGCAGCCTCAGCCAGTGACATTCAAATCTTGAAAGGCCCGGCACACAGACTTCGTCACGGTGATGTCATTCGGGTGATTGTTAACTCCGAGCAACGTTCGCTTGATGTCTCGGCGTTCATTTTGCCCCCTCATGTCGCCTCCGCCTCTCGGTGGCTCCAGGAGTCGAGGGTTGTATCACTTCTTCATTCTGTTGAAGGGGTGATCTCTTTTGAGGTCCCGCGTTTGTGCGACCTTGATATCACAGTGCTGAGCACCCTCCTGCAGAGTGTCATCCCTGGCCGTCATGTCTTTGTTGAGATCCCTGGAGCTGAGGCCCTCCCCCATGCGGCGTTTGGTGTTGCTCGTCCGGGGCAAGACTGTGTTACCTATCGCCTGACTGATGCATCCGACCCATCCGCAGTCGGCCTTCTTTTAGCCTTTGCGGCATTTGCGGGAGTTTTCGAGTCCTTCTCTGCCTTTCTCGACAGCCTTCTTTACAGCAATCGTCCGGCAGCGGTTTTGCTACGTCGGCTGCAGCATTTTGGCCTGTCGGTGTTGTCCTGGGAATGCACCGTTATCCCCGGCCGGGGTGATTGTCATTATTGGCATGTCCATGTCCAGGCTGACCTCGCCAGGGCTCGGGAATACCTCCTGCATTTGCATTGGGAGCCTAGGATTGTTCGTAGTCCCCCGCCCCTGCCGTCCCCTAGGGTTCGGGTTTCTCATAGTGTTGGGGTTCAGACCAACGCTCCCTTTATTTCTGCTAGCACACCTGCTGCGGTACTTCAAGCACCCCCGACCTTATGCGGCGCGGGGGTTACGCCTGACTCTGCATCCGAGATTGTCGATCTCTGGTGTGATGCATGGCACGTCAAGTGTCTAGTTGCCTGCGTGCCTGGCTTCACCGTCTGGGCCCTTCGCGAAGGGGGTCGCCTTGTTGGCATGTGCACACCTGCTCCTACATGGGAGGCAGTGGCCCAAGCGCTTTCTCTCTCCCTCTGGGAGTTGCCCCAGACATTCTTGTCTGATAGTACTCAGATCTGGCCGTTTCCCCGGGACCTCGCCAGTGTCGTTGGGCGATGTGTTAGTGTAGGATATGACTCGCCTGAGGGGATTTCGCAGTTAGCGCATAATTGTCAATCACCAGCTCCGAGCCCACCACCAGTTCCACCAACTCTTGCGTCCGTTGCGCTTGGGTTGACTTGTTCTGGGCGAAGCTTGCTCTTGTGCGTGCTGGGTCTCTTGGCGCTCCCGGTTGATTCGGTGCAGCTGCCTCTCGAGCCCGCCACCCTGGTACCTCGGAGCTCTGCCGACATTTTGCATACCCGTCGTGACTTCACGCGGCCCTGCACCATGTCATGGACGCACGAGCTGGGGCGACAAACGCATGGCTTTGCAGTAGCGGCGCCCCAATTAGGTGCCTACGTTGAGCGCACTTCACCACAGTATGAAATCCAGTTGCATCTGTGGTTACCCGGGCAAGGCCCGATCCACCTGCGTGTTCATGCGCGCCACCTTGACCTGCATCTTAGCGCATATCTTGGAGCCTTTTTGCCTGACTGTGAGTATGGGCTTCATGTTGCCTTTGACTCGAATCCGCAGGTGTTGGACATTTTGGTAACCCCGCCATCTCCACCAGTTTGGTGGATCCTCAGGGATTCCATTGGGTGTGAGTTACTCCGGCCTGTGGTCCAGCACTTTACCTCTCACTGCTCTTTCTTCTTTTGTGCCATTGAGCCTGATGGTGTTGTGCACAGTGTCGAACCCTCGGCTGAGGTGCGTCATATGTCACCGAGCCCCCAAGGGGCTAGGGCACTCATTGGCCGTGCTCTCCCAGGGCTGGTTGGCCGACTTGTTGACGGCGTCCTGCAGGTTGTAGCGGCGAGAGCTTGCTCTCCTGCTATTTTAGGTGGCCTGACCTTGATCCTACTTGGGGGACAGTCAGCTGCTATGCATCCGCCTCATAGCACCGCTTTAGCTACAGTTGATGAAGTTCCACCGCCGGCTCCTGCTACCATGCGGATCTGGACACTCAATGTCCCTGCGCCTGTCGACCTGCCTTGGCGGCCGCAAGGTTACCCAACACGCTGGCTCCGTGAATTGATGTGCCGTTTACATCACATTGACGACCCCGGTGAGTTCAGGTCTACTCTCTCCTCACCCGCCGGGACTGTGCAGCACGTTCTCTTCGTGCCGGTTGTGCCCACCACACATCCTAGTGCTAGATTCTGGCTGCTGCACTGGGGAGATGCGGCTGTGGTTACTTTTGGGCATACCCCTTTTCATTGGGATGTTGTCTCCGCTCACATCCGAGCCCTGTTCCCAGGGGGACCTTTGCCAGACCGTTGCCCAGCTCTTTCCTTTGCAGGCCAGTTTTATCCGCCTGGAGCTCCCTTGCCTGACTTCCCGTCTGGAGCTGTCATTCAGATCATCATCGGTGCTCTTGCGCGAATCCCGGGAGATGATGATCCCTGGAACCCTGACCCGCTAGTCCTTGATAGCCCCTTCTTCCGACATGTGCCCAGTCGTGGCCCTGCACTGGAACCGGCCATACGGCTTGATGGGCGTGGCAATCAACTTGCTGCTGGCGCCTCGCAAACTCCCCTGGTTGATCAAGGTGTACAGACTGATCTCTCAGGTAACGGTACTGGTCTCGACCACGCTACTGTTTCACGGGTTCATCTGCTGTCCCGTGAACTCTCTTTCCATACGTCACGACTCTGGGCTGGACTTGCGGAGCCTGACGCTGAGCCCGTTGGAGACTCCCCCTCCGTCCTGAGGCTGTCCTCCCAAAGCGCGTGTGCTGCTGCCTCTGCCCCGAACGTCGATTTGCTTGATATCGGAGGTACTTCTGGCAGCCGCAAGCTGGCTCTTCCGTGCTCTGTTAGTTGGGTCTTAGTCGGGGCTCTTCTTGGTTTTAGGGGGGTTGCGTTCGGGAGCTTTCTTGCTCTTGCAACTGTCAGTGATGGCTCCATTATTTTCCCCCCGCCGGATTGTTCGGATGAGGAGCAGTCTGATGAGGACGGTCCCCCTCCTGTCCAAGCTGAGAACATGTCTGCCGCTGCTGGTGCACCAGTCCCTTTCACCATTCCAGCTGGACCTCCTCCACCGGAGCCGGTGAACGCCCCCTTTCAACCCCGTTTGCGTTATCTTCGTGCAGCCCGCCCTCTTGAGGATTATGCTCTCGGACTTTGGCCCTCCACTCTTGATCGGGAGCCGGCTGCCGATGAGGACGTTGTTCGACGGGTCCAAGCAGATTTGCTTGGACTACAACGAGGCCTACGCACATTTGCCGCTGCCATACCACTGGGCACGCCCTTTTGTATCCACAACCCCTTCACTGCCAGACAGCAATGTGACATTGTGGAATACTCCGCTGGGCCGGATCTTAATCCCTTTGTCCTGTTTCAAGGACATGCACGCAGCCGTGGTTGGGCCGGGATGGTCTTGCTCATGCCGCAGCCCGATGCCACAGCTGTGCACCTAATCGGCTGCCTTTTGGCGCCGGGCAATGTCGCGGTAGGTGTCGTCATTGACGGACGCCTCCTTCCATGCTGCCTTCCTGCGTGTGTCGCCTGTGCAGCGCTCCAGGCGCTTCACCTTGACGGCCATGAATATGATCTCCGACCTCCGGAGGTTCACGAAGAAACTGCTGTTGTTCAATTTCGCAATGGTGACTGTCTGGCGGCGAGGCGCCGCCCATCCCGCCAGCTACCCTCCCAGCAGGATGTGCAAGATGCCACTGCAGAAACCTTGGGGGTTGGCACCGATGCTGCAGCAACGGTCCCCGAATCGACTTCTGCTGCATTCAGGGCCGCAGGTTTGTGGGCTTGGCTTGTTTTCACATCCGCCAGGTTGCCTGGTGTGGCGCCTGCCATGCTCGCTCTCTGCCTCTGGCGCGCCGAGGTTCTAGGTATGCATAGGCCAGGTGGCTTCCCTTGGGGCGTCGATCCGGTTAACCGGCGGTTCTCTGGCATTACGAGTGAGGACCCGGTTGAAGTTGTCTTGCACAGCCCCTTTTTAGGGGTTTTTCCACCCTTTACAGCCTCCCAGGACACCTGCCACACTCAGGCCTGGGCCCAGTTTCGCAATGATGATCCGGGGTGGGCGGCAGACTACTTTCCGGTCTGGCCAGGGCCTGCATTCAATGAACTTTCCGTCGTCCCCGTCGGACATGATCCTGCCCTTGTCACCATTATGCTTGTCTGGGGAGGCCACCATCGGGCAACACTCACGCCCCGAACTATGACGGTTGCGTGGTTGACTTCCTTTGTTGCCCGCCATATCAACAGTGAAGTTGGCGGGCTCTCACTTCCTCACGGGTTGGCGGTTTGCGAATATTTTGATGTCCCGCCAGCCGCTTTTCGGTTCCGCAACGGGGACGTCGTTTATATCCATGATCCCCCAGCGGACCCTGATGAGCCGTTAGAGTTTGTGGAGCCTTGGCACCTCCAAGATGGACTCGCGGCACACCACGCTCCATGGGCAGTGGGATTCCAGCTTATGTTTCCGATTTCGGTTCACCTGCTCCGTCCTGAGAAACCGCCACTGCTCACGAGCATCCCGGCCGGCGAATCTTGGTGTCCCGAGGCGTTTTCATTTTCTGGGGACTTTAGACACCAATTTCCGGGCTTTTGGACGCCGGTCCAGTGGACGAGTGCTCGTGCCCTGCAGCTTATGGCGGTTAACGAGGTTGCTGCTAAGGTTAATGTTGTAGCGGCTACTCCTGAAGGGCGGTTGTGCCGATCGGTTGATCGTGTTGCGTCTCGTGACAGCCTCGCTGCTCAGTTGAGGTTCTGCCCTGCGACGGTTCAGGTTGGCGGGGTCCCGTCATATGCCATGGAGCAAGCTTGCGAACTCCGCAACGGAGATGTGATTTTCGGAGAATTCGCTCGCGGCGATTGTGCGACTGCCTCCTGCCGCCTCGGTTGGTGGTTGGGAACTGCCTTTGCTTTCTCACATCTGACCACGGCACGCCAGTTCTTGCTTGTCCTTGCTGTTGGCCTCATGCATGGTGGCCAGTCTTCGAGCCTCGGGGCCGGTGCTTTGTTTTTCTTGCCGTCAGCGGCGGCCATGATTCAACGGGCACCTGCCGCCCCCTTGGCACCTCTGGCTATCCCTGCTGCCACTGTTAACCGAGTCACCCTCACTTTGGCCAATCCCTTTGCGCCCTGGCAACGCGTTGAAGTTGACCCCAGTAATGCCTTTGAGGATGTCATCGCGGATGCACATCACACCCTGACGTCGTGGCATCGGGGGTTTGCTGAATCCGGGTTGGTGTCCGATGGTTCGCATGTTCTGGTCCCGAGACCAGGAGGGAGGCTTGCATGCATACTGGTTTCGGGTCTGGGGCAGCTTCTTTGTGTTGTCGTACCCTCCTTTCTCACCCCCCGCGATTTAACCCATGCCTTGCAGCTTCGCTTTGGCCGCCGGGTAAGTGCACACCTCTCGTCGTCATCGCCTGCCACGTCGTCCTCGGCCTGCTCCTCGTTGTCCTCGTCCAGCCGGGACACCAGACCTGTGCTCGCTTTGCGATCAGGTGACTTGATAGCAGTCCGGCTTTTCCAGTCGGACCCTTCAGCAGGGCCACGCGAGACGCCCGTCTTCTTGACCTGGGGAGCTGCACATGCCGCCTCAGCATGGCATTGTGACTTTATTGTCGCTCATGCCTCCTGTGTGCTGCTATGGTCACCCAGCCGACCCACTCGGGTCGCTCTCCTCCGACACCAAGCGCGGTGGAATGCTGCGGAGGCCACCGTTTGCCAACACGAGGAGGCCTTGGGAGTCCACCGTTGGGCGCCTTGCCACGGACACTTAGGGACGCCACCCTGGCTTGTTGAGCAAGCCACTGCTTTTGGGCGTGTGAAAATCATTCAGTCTTGTGGCTCCACCAGGTGTGTCGAGATTGACAGAGGCGCTGCACATGACCTTTATATTCAAGGGTTTTCCCTCCGCACCGCCTCCAGTCAGGCTACTGAGGAAGCCAGTGTACGCGACGGTGATTGGTGGGTTCATTCCCTTGCAGCTGGACTGCTTGGGCGTCGGATGCCTGCGCTGGCCAGACTTCTGCTCCTTGTGTATGGTTTCAGTGGGCAAGCCTGGGCTGTGTCATCCGGCTCCTCGGGTCGATGCTCCAGTGTTGACTCCTCGGAAGCTCGCACCATTCGCACCAGGATGCCACCTCGGCGGAGTCGCTCCCGTGATCGGGACAGCTCTCACCGCCATTTTCCTGCGCGAGTCGATTTCAGCAGTGGTGAACCTTATGTCCTACAGGCGGGGTGGCAGCCTGATTGTACTGACGGTCAGCTTTGTTTTGCCCGCTGCTTTCCAGGTCCAAGGCCCCTCACTACCCGAGTCCTCTGTCCCTTGCGAGGTTGGAGCGAATTTCATTTTGCCAGATTGGAAGGACCATGGTCCCTGTTTGAAGCTGTTGGGTCCCGACACTGTGGTGCTTGGGCAACCCGCTTCTTCCCTGTCCGTGCGGCGTTTCCGTTCGCCCAAGTTACGCTTGCCCCGGTTGCTCCTTTCGGGATGGCAAGTGTAGTTTTCCACACCCTTAGTGGCACAGCCGTTGCCTTAGCGTCGGTTGATGCGTCTCTCGAGGACATTCAGCGGCTGGCCGCCCGCCTCATTCCCAGCACACGGTTTTGGGTTGTCATTCCGCCTCCTTCCCTCCGTGCTGCTCACATGCACACGCACATCCGCCTTCGCAACGGAGATGCGTTTGGCTTTCTGCCTGACTCTACACAACCCGGCTCTACGCGGTTCCCTGCTCTGCACTACCCATCCCTTGATAGGGCGCGGCAGGTTGCCAGCCGGTCGTTATCTTTCAGGTTCGACACAGGCGGCCCCGTCACCCTGTGGACAACCTCCAGCCGTTTTGGCCAGCTGGTATATGTACGCGACAATGCGTATTGGGATCCTCTAGGCCCCACATTTCGAAGCTTAGGTGGAGAGACCCTTACAGGCTCCTGGGTACCAGTCCTTACGGGTGACCTGTCGGACCTGCATCTAATGTCCCGCACCTCAATTTCTGAAGCGCATGTGCTCTTTCTCCTGCCGCCAGAGCAGACACCGGTGGGGGTCTTCCTTGCAGGCTGCAACACCCATCGCATCCCCTTGGGATGGCAACTGTTACCTGCCATTCGTTATGTGCGTGCTGGTAGCACGTTGCGGGACGGGGACGTCTTGGTTATTGCCCCGAATGCTGATCTTGTTTGGGACCCATTCAGTCTACGGCCTCCCAGTCTAGATGATGCTCAGCCGCAGAGTGCCCCGCACACCTGGCATCAATCTCTGACCTCTGCCTCGCCTGGCCCCACGGTTCTGCTTGGCGTTCTCGCGGTTTCGGTTGGTCGCGCTCCCTGGTGGTTAGGGCTAGCCCTCGGGGTTGTGCTGGGGTCTAGCATGGTGCCTTCTTACGAGCTCCCCGATCCGCCCATCCGAGTTGGGCTGTACCCATGGCGCGCCCGTCTAGGTGAAGGTGACCTTCTCGATCTTTCGGCCCGACCTGAATTGGATATTGTTCTGCTTAGTCCTTTCACAGGGCCTCGGGAGGCAGGTCGTCTGTATACCTCCGCTGCCATTACTGAGCTTAACACTTTGACGCAGGCCTGTGAGCCGGCCTGGGGTGCCGACGTTGTGCCCGTCTGGCCGACAGCCGCCCTTCCAGCCTTGTTGGTCGTGCCTCGACCCCCTGATCCCAGCCTCGTGTGCCTGGCGGTGTCCTCTTTGGACCCTTGATCCCCTGCTCCTCCACTCTGTCATGGTTGGGGGAGGCTCTCCGTTTTCTTCAACCCCTTCAGGCGCTCTCCCTGCGGGCACCTAGCTCCTTGGCCGCGTCGACACCTCCTGACGGCGTTATCAGATGGCGTTCAGGCGATCTTGTTGTCGCCCTGCCTCCGGCAGCCTTCGAGCCTACCTACCAGCCCCCGTGCTTCCACACTGATGCGCAGGTTCGGCATTGTGCTGTCTGGGCAGTCGACTTTTCGGTCTCTGTCCGGACAAATTTTGTTCTTTGGCGCCCCGGGGTCCGCGCAATCCGGGGCCATGCACCCGAAGGGGCACAGTGGCGGGCCCTCGACTTTACGTTTGCCGGGGAATTCAGTCAACACTATCCTGGGCGTTGGGTGCCGGTACCATGGATTGCCCAAGACCATGCCCATTTAGTTGTGGTGTCCGAGGACCCGACATACGTCAATGTTGTCATTGAAGCTGACGGTAAGTGCTGGTGTGCCCCAGTAACTGCCGCGACGGACGCCTGGCAGTTATGGAATGATGTGCCCTCCATCTCCACTCAGCCACGAGTCCTGGGTCTTTCACACCAGGAACTGCGCCAAGGCACTGTCCTCCGCAATGGTGACGTTGTGTCAAGAGCTCCCCAGATCGCCCCGCCGTCAGGTGGCGTTCAGGTTCTCCTCGCTTTCTTTCTCTCTGCCCGATTTCTACCGACTTTCCCGAGCTCCTTGGTTCTGATTGCTGGCTTGTTTTTCGGCTGGCATAATGAGGCTGCCGGTGCACGCCACCTTACCATCGCGGTTGGCCTTGCTGCCACCGGGCAGGGTCATGTTGGGGCAGTTAGGACGCATGACACACCCTCTCCTGCAGGGGATTGTCACCGCCTCTGGGAGCCTTCCGGCTCTGTGTCAGGGCCGTTCTTTGGTCCCGTTGATCGTCCGCCTGAGGAGTTGCGTCATGCCGCTGTTGCGTGGTCTGATTTTGCTCAAGTCCTGCCACCTCAAGATCCTCGCATAGTGGATTGGGTGCCTGTCCCTTCGGATCCTCTCTTCGTTGTTGTCTTGCTGCAGTGCCCGCCTGCGACTCGAGCCGCCATCTTGCCAGCCACGTGTCACGCTGCAGACCTTACTCGAGCTTGTCGACGGTCGGTCCCTGATTTAGCTTGTGTTTTGGCCTCGCCTGAAATCTGGTGTGGCACCGCCACTTCCTTTACCCCAACTCTTTTCCTTCGGTCTGGGGACGTGCTGACCCTGGCATGTGCCGGCTGGGCTCCACGCTTGCGCTCTCCCAGCGGCCGCTATTGGGATACCTTCTATCAGGCCCGAAAATTTGCCTTTTGGGGTAGCCCCTTTCAGATCCGCATGCCAGGCCTCTTGTTTGCGTGGTCGGCCGGTGATCCTGTTCCCTTGACGGTTCACACCGTTCAAAATGAAGTGTGGGACCCGGAACACTGCACATTCCGACCCTCTTTGGCCCGGTACAGTGTTGACCGTTGGATCCCGGCGGCCCGTTGTGATCTGCTTGGCCTCCACCTTGTCCCTGAGAGCCTTAACCCGCATCGTGCACATGTTCTGCCCACGCAGCCACCTCTTCGGTTGCTGGAGGTCTCCCGTTACAGCACACAGGGTCTGATTCGGGATGGTGATAGCGGCTCTCTTGGTAGCAGCGCTCCCTCCCCGCGTCTTCTGCTGTGCCTTGCTGGCCTTCTGCTGGCGCGGAATGCCTTGTCGCTTTGGCCCAGTGGAGGGGCTCTCCTTCTTGCAGGGGCCTCCTTTGGGGCTTTCCCCTTCCGTGGCACCCTTGTCTTACCAGGTGTTGCCCCTGTTGCGATGCCGGTTACTGTGCAGAATCTTCGGGTTGGGTCGCACATGTGGCCGCAGATTGCGCTAAGCAGGGGTTCCTTTACCGCGGCTGGGGGACCTCGCCGTGGTGGAGCGCTGCCCTTTTGGCTTGCCGCCCCGGAGCCGGCTGCGAGGTCTGGGGTCCAGACTGCTCCTGTTCCACCGGCATGGTCCGCGTCCTTGCTTGACTGTTATGGCCGTGCGTGGGGCGCGCCGGCCGATGACCGCGACTCCGATGCCGTTCCTGAAGCAACTCCGGAGGCTCATTGTCTCGATTTGCAGGACGCCGGGTATCATTATGCCGGCTTGGCAGCACATTATCTGTTTAAGCCCCTTCTCACCGACCTTCCTTCGTCACTCGCTCCCCTGCTTCATCAGGGATGGTGCCGTTTTCCCCGTTGGCCAGGCGGTGTCCCGGATGAAGTCTTCATTGCCACTGATGGTAGTGGGTTATGCAAGGGAGGCTGGGCCCTAGCTGTGTGGGTCTCGTGGAAGGGCAATTGGTACCGCCTAGGCTGGGACGCCGGCAGCCTTGCTTCTACACCCTGGCTTCCCTCGTTTCCTGCTACTCATCTTGACATTCGTTCTTACCTGGGGGAGCTGAGCGCCTTGGTGTCTGCTGCCGCCTGGTTTACGGTGTGGTGGGACAACATGCAGCTTTTGACCGGACACGCGCCTGCCAGGGTTACCTTAGCAGTTGACAACAGTGCAGCGCTTCAAGTCGCGGGGGGCCATGCTTCGGCGACAACGCCTCATGCTCGTGTCTGCCGGGCTCTGTGGCAGTCGATCCAGTCCCGATGTTCGACGCATTTCAGGCATGTGCCGGGCCACACTGGCAGCCTCGTCAATGAAATAGCCGATGCCTTGGCGGGGTACGGAACTGCTCATGACCGTTGTGCGTCTGTTGGGTGGTGCCGCCTGCCAGCTACCTTTGGGGACTCACTTCTAGAGTGTGCCCCGCTCATGTGGCTCTTGCCGCAGGCACGCCTGGAAGAAGGTCGGTTGTGTTGGCGCTCCTTGGGATGGGTCGATTGCCCCCGCACTTCCACGCAAGAGCCCCCACCGATACAGCCTCATGTGCGGCAAGATGACAAGCAGGTCAAGCCTCTTCGTACCACCGTCACTCTGGTGCAAGCCAACATCCAGACAATGAAAGATGTTGATGTGTCCTTCTTCAATAGGGATGGACACGGGCAGCGTCGCATCTACTTGGCTAAGCAACTTCGAACTCTGGGGGTTCATATTGCCTTTCTTCAAGAGTGCCGTAGCCGCCCGGGCCGGTGGTCCTCCCACGGCTTTCTCAGCTTCCGGTCTGGAGCCGAGAAAGGGCTGTTCGGGGTCGAAATTTGGATCCGCCCTGACCTGCTGCACCCTGTATTGAGTCTGGACGACTTTCGCATCCGCTTTGCCAGCCCGAGAATTCTGTTAGTGCAGTGTCAACGAGCTGAGCTCCCGGTTACTCTTGTTGCAGCCCATGCACCACATGCTGAGAGGCCGGGTGCGGATATTCGGCGATTTTGGCATGATCTCAGGACGCAACTTCTTCCGGCCTGCAATCGCGGTACCGTTCTGCTAGGGATTGATGCTAACGCCGACTTCATTGGCCGTGATGAGGAAGAGACCCTTGTTGGCGACCTTCTTAATCTCCGCCCCGCCAGGCTTGGCGACGATCTCCTTCTTGCCTGTGCACATGATACGGCGCTTGCTGCCCCAGGCACTTGGTCTGAGGTCTGCACTGGACCCACTTGGACTTGGCAGCACACAGGAGGGAAGACCCAACGCTTGGATCACCTGCTTATTACCCACGGCACTCGGGTCTCTCAGTATCGCCAATTTCCTGAATTTGACATCTTGAATGGCGAGGCCAGGGATCATATGCCCATTGTCATTACTGTGGACGTTTCCGGAAAGTCCGCAGGTAAAATGCATCCGCGCTGCCCCTACTCGGCTGACTCCGGTGTCGCTGTCGCTGAGGCTGTCTGGGACGCTCTACACCAGTCTCCACCTGGTAGTAGTGCTGAGAGGGTCCAGCAACTCTGTGTTGCCCACGACCATGCGGTCCGTTGCCTTCCTGCCCGGCCCCCTCTTCAAAAAAGGCAGCCTTATCTGTCTGAAGTTGCTGCCGGCCTCCTTGAAACTCTTCGTGATGCACGGGCCGAGGTTAGGCGGCTTCAAACCCTCTATCACCGGCAACTATGTCTGGTTGCCTTTAGGGCATGGTGCCGCCGCCGAGTTGAGTCCCCAGCCCTCCCTTGGGAACTTCACCAGGTCCGCATGATGCTGGCGCATTTTGCACACGTGTGTTTCCGGCTGCGAGCGCAGGCTCATGCACAGGCACGGCTTGATAAGCAGGCTTACTTTGAATCCATGCTCCTCGGTGCAGTCGACCACTGGCATGCCACCGGGCGCCCTCTCGAGGCTGTTGCCAAGCTGTCTTGGGCATCCAAAGGCGCCAAGCAAAAACGTGATGTTAGGGCGGCAAGTGGGTTTGACATCGATGAGCAACTCCAGCTGCAATTCCAGCAGCAGGAAGATGGCCGTCCGGTGTCGGATGCCCAATTGAGCGCAGCCTTTTCTCTCTGGGCTGCTGCACCGCGTGGCGTTTGTCTTTCGGCACTACCCACCCTTCTTGATGTTGAACACATGTGTCGACTCCAGCGCCGAGGCAAGGCCCCTGGCCCGGACCACATTCGTAATGAGGTCTGGCGAACCCATCCTGATCGCGCCGGGCGATGGTTGTGGCCTATGTGGGTTCATCTCGCTTGGGGCGAGGCCGAGCCACTTCACTTTAAAGCTTCTACTGTAGGAGCTCTTCACAAAAAGGGCCCAGCTCACATTCCTGCCAACTTCCGTTCCATTGCCATGCTGAATGGAGTGGCTAAGTTGTGGCACTCCCAACTTCGGGCCACCCTGGGTCAGGAAGTTATCGCTCATTACTTTCCGACCCAGCTCGGTGGTAGGCGAGGCGTCGACACCGGCCTTGCCCTCACTGTCTTCCGCTCTGCTGTTGATCTAGCTTCCGTTCACGGCCGTTCCTGGGCTGCCTTGTTTGTCGATATTCAGGCCGCCTACTATGAAGCGGACAGAACCTTGCTTTTCCATGGCCGTGACCTTGAACCAGCTCTTGCGGGCCTGCAGTTGCCTCGTCACGTTCATGGCCTTATTCAGGATGGCGTCCTCGCGGGTCTCGGGGTTCCCGCTGACCAGGTTGCTCTCCTGCGTGACTGCGTCGAATGCTCGTATTGGCGCCTTGTCGGCCAGCACCAGGCCATCATGGCAGGTCGAGGTTCTCGGCCCGGGGACGGACTTGCAGATGTCCTGTTCGGACAGTGCCTACATTTTGCGCTCAAGGCTGAAGATATTGTTCATGCTGCTTCCTCTGATGCCCTTGGTCGACCCGATGCATCCCTCCAAATCGCATGGGCTGATGACCTGTGCCTGCTTGTTGATTTCATCCGAGCCACTTGGGCTGTCTCGAAGTTGCGCCGCCTTTGCACTATCGTCCTCCAAGTTTTCGAGGCCTTTCGGTTCCGCGTCAACCTTGGAGCAGGGAAGACAGAGGCGCTCGTCCACCTACAAGGAGCGGGGGCTAATGTAGCGCGCAAGGATCTATTAACCCCTGAGCCCCTTCTTGCTCTTAGTGACGGGAGAGGCATTAGGGTTGTCCCTGAATATAAGTACCTAGGGGTCGTGCAGCGTTGCCGTGACACTGGCCGACGGGATGTCGAGGCAGCCGCCGCACGTGGCAACTCTATCTGGACTCAAGCCTCTGGACTTGTGCATTCTGAGAAGTTGCCGTGGATGCTCAAGTCCGTATGGCTGCAGGGAAGGACTCTCCCAGCAGCGTACTCCTCCCTCGCCACTACCTTAGCTCGTTCTGAACGAGCCTGGGGACCCCTGAATGGATTCTACGACAAATGCCTTCGGCAGATTGTCGGGTCCTGGGATGCTGGGCACCATGTTGCCTCAGTCCAACTGCGGGCCTGTACCGGGGTTTTGGATGTGGAATGCGCGACGGTTATCGCTCGTGTGCGCCTGCTCTGCCGCATTGCCTCGGGCCGTTCCCCTGACATATTTGAATTGTTCCAAGCCAGCTGGGATCGCGGCGGGGAATGGTCTTCACTCCTTGCTGATGCGGTGCGGCGGGTTTGGCCGGCCTGTGGCCTACCAGCACTCCAGAAAGGCGAGCCTACCCTTCTCTGTGTGCGACGACACACCAAAGAGATCCTCTCGGCCTGTCGCCGGATCAGTCGGTCCGGAACTATGCTGCTGGCTCTCCATCGGGCGTGGAGGAGTCATGGCGGTCCGCCACCCAAGCGTGTGATTGGTCTCGCGTCCCCTCACATATGCCCGGAGTGTGGTGTGACTCTCCCTTCGGCGCATGCTTTAGCGGCCCATGCTCACCGTCTTCATGGGCGCGTTGCTCTCTGCACACAGTACACGTTGGGGACGATCTGTCTGTGGTGTATGGTCGAATTCCATAACGCCGCGCGTCTCCGGTATCATCTTTTGCACTCACCGGACTGCGAGCACGGGTTGCGGTGCTGTGTTGGCCCTGTCTATGAGTATGGCACAGGCACCAAACGTCGCGGCAAACAAGGCCATGCCAGGGCCCCGGTTTTCCGTGTTGCAGGCCCGTGTAACGCTACCGCAGCCCAGCGCCGTGCCGCCGAGGAGGGGCGTTGCTGCACGGAAGAGGAGCTCTCTGCTGAGTTACGCACTGTCGCTCCTGGCCCAAGCTTCTCCGAGGGCACTCGCTCCTCTCCTGTTGTGCCCTTTCGCCGTGTTGGTGGTAACTCTACTCTTGCTTCTGGCGAAGCGGTTAGCACGGTCCCGTGTCCTGTGGTCTTGCACTCACCACATGCTCCTGTTGCTCCCTCCACCGGAGCTTTGGATTTTGGCCCCCCCACCTCCTCGGTTCGTCCTTCTTCCGCTGACACCGCGGCTGCTTCTGCTCGGTACCAGACACATCCAGCGGACAGATTCTGCATTGTCTATTGTTTCGACGAGGCTCCTGGTGCCTCGTCGTTTTGCGTCCCCTCTTGTCGGTGGTGTGCGGTGCCTCCCGCCATCTGGTGTCTCCCGCAGTCTTGGGCGCGGTGCTGGAAGCTCTTTCTTGCCCTTGATTCGCTGCACCCGTGGTCAGCTGAGACTTGGAGACTCACTGCCTTTCTGCGCCAGGAGGAACGCCCATCTCCGAGCGCCACTCTCGGATGCCTGACGTGCTTCGATCAGATCGCGGCACAGCGGATCCTTTTCCTGCGGAGGATGCTCATGTGTCTCCACTTGCTTCGTCAGATCAAGGCAGGAGCTGCTCTGTGGTGCGCTGTTCCCTTGCCAAGTGCCTTCTGGGAACTTCTGCGTCGTGTCGTACCTCTCGCAGTTGGTACATCGACTGTCGCCGTGCTTGGTTTTGGCACTGTCGTTAGTCTACCTGCGGTCGCCCCGCGGGCTCTTTCCTCTCTTGCCTCGGGCTGGCTTTCCTTGGCCTCTCCCCGTCGCTTGGCGATGCCGCACCAGCTTCCTTTGTAGTTTTGCGGTCCGTCTTTTCTTGCACAGGACTAGTACCTTCTACGCAACGAAGAAGAAGAGGTTTTAGGGTTTAGGGGCAGATGATGGGCTCCCTTTTTGGTATAGGGTAGTTTTGCAAGCAATGTAAGACTACAAAGAGGGAAAGAGGGCCCACTGGAAAATCCAGTAGAAGGGTGTGGTTGCTATAAGATATAAATATGTGTGTATATGTTCGAGCAAACAGGTGTGTGAACTATATGTATATGTATACATATATATATATATACACAGATATACACGCATACTTATGCTTATCTAGGTATGTTAATCTGTTACTGTTTTTATTATAACATCATACATACATGAAGTTCGGGCTTTAGGGAGTCAAGCTTTACATCTCCTGCCACCCAGCTGCTGCCAGAAAAGCCCACCAAGCTGTTTTCCAGATGTCTCCGGAGCTTCGACAGAGTCCGTTCTATGGCCACCTTTGGGTGTTGCGACGCTTGGGGTTCGGGGCATTTGTGAGACTTCGAAAACCCTGAACCCTGTACCCTAACCCTCTCATCCTAAACCGTAAAACTAAACTTTAAGCCCTCAGCCAACAATGCTACAACCAAAACCCTAAAGAACCCCTACCCAGAATGTATACAACCCTTCCTTGAAAGAGCCCTTAAAGCAACTACAACTCCCAAAAGAGAAGTAAAACCCTAAACTTTGAAACCCCAAACTCTAAACCGTCTAATCCCTCTTTGTAGCGACTCCCCAAAGGAGAATCCACACCCTAAACCCTAAAACCCTAGACTCTAAACCGTCTAAGCCCTCTTCGTAGCCCCCCCCCCCCAAGGGACTCCCCGCTGCGAGAAACCTGGGAACCGCGTTTTAAGGGTTTCGGGTTAGGGGTCTAAGGAGAGTTTCGGGTTTCATGTTGTTCCAGAACAGGGCTCCATTTTCAGGTCGAGAGTTGAGGGTCTACTGAAAGGATCATGGGACGTAGTAACTGGGGTTAGAATTAAAAAGGTAACTGTGCTTACAACGATGTAGACCTTGCACCGCCAAACTTGAAAACACTGACAGGGAACGGATGAGGTTTAGTTGCTCACACCCAAATCCCAGCAACCCCGGACCCTGAACCCCATACAGACCATGCGATTTCAGCTGGCGTAGATACTGTGCCGCGCTTGTGCTGCTGCTGGTCCACGCCTATGCTAACGATGCAACGACACAAGCATATCTGCCGCAGAACAAGTGTCATCACAGTCGGAATCACCCCAGATCACGATTGATCCCTCGCCAAGAAGGACGACAAAAGCGGTTTTAGAGGCTTGGATCTGTTGCACGTTCTTCAACTTGTCCTGCACTGAGCTGCTGTCACCACCAAAGTCAGCATCACACCAGCTCACGGCAGAGCCATCGGCAAGAACGGCTGCAAATGCACACTCGGAGGCTTGGATCTGTTTCACGTTCTTCAGCTGGTCCTGCACTTTACTACTGTCACCCCCTGTGGCATCGGCATCCTCCTCGCCACTCCACGTCACGACGGATCCATCCTTAAGAATGGCAGCAAACGACCAATCATTGGCTTGGATCTGCTGCACATTCTTCAGCTGATCCTGCACAGCACTGCTGTCACCGCCGTAGTAGGCACCACCCCAGGTCACGACCGATCCACCGTCAAGAATTGCAGCAAAAGCGCCGGAAGAGGCTTGAATGTGCTGCACATTTGTCAGCTGATGTTGCACAGCACTACTGTCACCGCCAGCGTGTGCATCGCCCCAGGACACTACAGATCCCTCGCCAAGAATGGCTGCAAAAGCACTGCTAGAGGATTGGACTTGCTGCACAGTTCTCAAGCGATCCTGCACAGCACTACTGTCACCACCATGCTTAGCATTGCCCCAGGCCACGACACATCCATCGCAAAGAATGGCAGCAAAAGCACAGTAGGAGGATTGGATCTGCTTTACATTCCTTAGCCGATCCTGTACAGCACTGCTGTCACCGCCACAAGCGGCATTGCCCCAGGTCACGACCGATCCGTCGGCAAGAATGGCGGCAAAAGCGGCAGTGGAGGCTTGGACCTGCTGTACGTTCTGCAACTGATCCTGCACAGCACTGCTGTCGCCACCGCAGTCAACATCACCCCAGGCCACGACCGATCCGTCGCCAAGAATGGCAGCAAAAGCGCCGTCATTGGATTGGATCTGCTGCACATTCCTCAGCTGATCCTGCACAGCAGTACTGTCGCCTCCATGCCAAGCATCACCCCAGGTCACCACTGATCCCTCGCCAAGAATGGCGGCAAAAGCGTGGCGAGAAGCTTGGATATGACGCACGTTGTTCAACTGGTCCTGCACCGCACTACTGTCACCACCCGCGTCTTCATCACCCCAGGTCACGACAGATGTGTCGCCAAGAACGGCAGCATAAGCGCCTGTGTTGGAAAGTACTTGAAGAGGGCCTGGGTTGGCCTTTAAACACCCTAAAAAATATTTATATATAGGGTCCCTTATAAACCCTAAACCTAAACCCTAAACCCCCCCTAAACCCTGAACCCTCAACTCTAATAAAAAGTGTTCCCAAAATCCAACCCAGGGGCTTACATGCAAGGTCAAAGAGTCACCAGTCTCCAGCCTGGCCTCCTTGATGGACGCGCGTGAATCCTGGGCTTAGGGATTTAGGGTTTAGGGTTTAGGGTGAAGTAAACAGAGAGAACAGCCTATAGATTCCAGAAGCTGCCCCCACCTTGTAGTAGTGGCTATAAGGATTATATTAGGGCCCTATTATATTCCTATTATACCACTATTACAGGGTGGGGGCCCCTCCTAGCCTATAGACTCTCATTTCATAATGGCTCCATTAAGTAACAGGTCCCCCCCAAAAGAGTATTAAACTATGATAGTCCAAAGCCCAGAGTCTAGAACGCTTCCAGATGAATCCAGCAGCTGCCCTCTGACCACTCCGAGTGCGATCTCTGCCCGACGTTTCAAAGATTTCACATCCTCATCCAAGCTTATTTGCGCCTTGGCTGACTTCTGAAACCCTCCTAAAAGTTAAACTTTTCGCCTCCTTAGTATCGTTCATACAGAGACCCAAAAAACTAAAGGCTAAAGAGCCAACCGGAAGAACGCTAAGGCACGGTAGCAGTCTTGCCACTGAGAAGGCCAACATCCAGCGTGATCGACATTGCATTCGCGGCAACGGCGCAAACTTCAGCCCCTACTAGTGAACCCTTTAAGCCTAAACACCAAAGCTTGTAAACCCTGAAGTGCAAAGGCTCAAGTCTTGGCCGCGCGTAGGTCATGTTTTGGCTTTTGGGTTGCTTTAAGAGGTAGTTAATGTAGACCACGGATTAATGAACATCCTTCCTTCAAGGGCCTGAACATTTGGATCCATCTTACAAACCTTTTGAAAGTAAGTTTTCCTCAGTCTAATCACTATACTCCAAGACAGAGATCTTTATCTAAACCCCTCTACCCCAAGAAGAAACGCTTATACGGCAAGATCGAGAAAGAGAAACCCCTAAACAAACCCTTAGAAACCGGTCGACTGCTCATGCCTTCGAGGGCCGTAAATGCTTCAGCTCGTGAAATCTTCCGCCGCCCCTCGTCCGAACTTGAATTAGGGTGTAGGGTTTAAGGGGCTGAGGGTTTAGAGTTTAGAGTTTAGGGTTTAGGGTTTAGGGGTTGGGGTTTAAGGTTTAGGAATGCTTCGGGCTTGAAGGTTAGAGTCTGAATTTCCGTTTGGGCTTAGGGGGGTTCGGTTCCCGGATATGGATTTCAGGGACTAGCTTCTCTGCCGGAATCCTTACAAGGGGCCCACTACCTGAAACGGTTTAAGGTTCAGGGTTTTGACAGCACTACGAAGTCAATACTTGAGGGTTCATGGGACATAGTAGCTAGGGATATCAAGAAGGTTACACCAGCTACTTACAATTACGTATGACCCCAGTCAAGGTGTTTTTATTTCTGTAGTTCCTAAGTCCCATGAACCTTCAAGTACAAAAAACGATAGCTAAGCACTGGTTTTGGGGTTCCCTTGGCTCTTTAGCTCCCTTTATCGTCGAGATTATCATTAGCCCTGGCTCCTCGGCTCCTCCAATATCAAAGTAACCTTTACTTGAAACACCTGTCGAAAAAAACCAAAAAGGCCCTGGTAAAGCCAAGGATGACCAGCCTATATACTTGGAAGATCATGGGACTTAGTAGTAAGTACAGTTATAAGTATATACCTTAATTGGGACTACATTGTACATATAAGTGTAGTTACCTTCCTTGTAACCCAAGTTACAGACATAAGTCCCACGAACACCTAAGTAAACCCCGTAGAAAAGTGCACCTCCTCAGAACTGCCCCTGTCCAGGGCTGCGATCACCTGAGGCCGTGCTTAGAGGTTCATGGGACTTAGTAACTAGGGTTATAACTATAAGGGGCTCCTTTTAAGGGCCCTATAATAGGGTTCCCTTTAAGGGTCTAGGGTTTAGGATCTACTTAGAGGTTCATGGGACTTAGTAAGACTTAGTAACTAGGGTTATGATTAAGGTAGCTACACTTGTATGTACTTATAATCCCAATTAGGGTACATATAACTGTACTTACTAAGTCCCATGAACCTCCAAGTGTTCTCACTTTCAGAATCAGATTGTTTGGGGTTTAGGGCCGTCCTCAGGGTTTAGAGTAAACCCCATAAAGTTGGAAACCGAATTAAGGCCAAATAGTGCTGGGATTCCCTATACATTGCTGTTAAGGATTGAGGCTATGGGGTTTCCAACTTTTGGGCTTCTGCTGTAGGGTTTGGTTGCCAGATCCGACACGACACACGTGAGCCTCTTCCATACTGTTCCCGCTTTGCTTGCTCTGCTTTCTGTTTGGGCGAGGCCTTCCAATTCTGGCTTTCGGTTGCTTTTCATTTCCGTTTAGGGCTTTGGGCTATAGGGCTTAGGCTTCAGGGCTCCTAGCTCCTTTCCAAGGCTCTATCGTCGAGCTCGCTTCCAGTAAAAATGGGGGAATGGATCTTTTAGTAGT